CTTTCGGGCTCTGTCTTTACATTTATTTTGAAAGATGAAGCTCGTGATTATGGTAAGGGGCGTTACATTTCCGACGAGTGCTTGCGGTGTTCGGCCAATCACAATGCACTGAGTCAGCTGGCCAATCAGAGCAGACTGCACTTGTCGGAAGGAGGGACTTTGTAGAAAACTAAGCGTTTGAGAGAGGCGGGGCACAGAGGACCTACAATAATTTACAGTATTTGAAATATAATGTGTTTTTTGAACATTAAAGCATGTCAACATATTCTGTTACACCAAATACACAAAATAATGATATTTTAAAAAGCATCATATGACCCCTTTAACAATAAAAATGTATAATTTGTTTAATACAACTAATATGTAATAATTCTGTATTTAACTTCATTAAATAGAAATGTAACATTTCAAAATAATATTAAATTATAACATTTTTTATGCACTTCTAGAATTTTTTTCATATTTACCTTTCATTTTTACTTTAGTTTTAGTTTCAACAAATATAATTTCAGTTATTTGCCAAGGCAACATTTCTCAGTTTTTTTTATCTAACACTTACTGTATTTCAGCTTTATTTCAATTAACAAAAAATACTTTTTGAAAAGTTTTAGTTAAAATAACAACAACGGTTTTTATTAAACTTTAAAAAAAACTTTTTTTTTTACATAAACTGAAATATTGAAAAATTCTACTTACTTAACTTAAAATTCTTATACCTTAACTTTGGTAACTGGATAGAATGGTTGAGCTGGACAACAATACAAATTTAGAAAATTAATGAGACACTGTTTACTTGTCTAAACATTTTTGTAGCAATTAAGATTTTTCTACAATTAATTTATAATTATAAAATTATATAATTTGTTTGCATGAGTTTAAGTGTTGATTACAGTCAAGGTCTAGGCAAGGAGACCAGCAAGACAGGACACATCAAAATACCTGTCAGACATTTGACTCTATGAGAAACAATAGAGTAGAACATGAGATTTGTCTGTTTATTGTAATAGGACAGCACCCTATTTGTGGAAAGTGTCAAGTTGTTGTGCATCGATGTCATTATTTATCAATAACAAATAGCATAATTTGCTGAAAGCTGACGTGGGCACCTCTCGTTCCCTGTAAAAACAGACGGCTCCCTCCTCTCTCTGGTGGCATGCACACAATAACCTAAGGGGGCCAGCTGGGCTCTGACCCGATAGTTACCTTGCAGTGTGTCGTACTGATTGGAAGTCCGATATTGGACGCCAAAACAACGGTGATCGCTGAGGCCAGCTCAATAGTGAATCCACTGTGGGGGGGAGGGCAACAAAACACAACTTTATACAGTTACACCTGTAGTTCAACCAATAATGACAATGCATGCCATTGAGAGAGGCTGGTGCACGTACAGCATGCCGGTCTGGAGGAGGAGAAACATTTTAACAGGCATGCAAAAAGTCCACAAGGAGATGAAGGTGGTGCAGTAACACAAAAACAAGGTTGACAGGTTTTCTTGAGTTCTGTGCCTATTAAGTGTGTCAGTATGTGCGTGTGAGTGTGTATCACAGGGTAGACACGTGTACATGCATGCAGGTGGAAACATGGTGATTGTGCTGAAAAACTCTCCAGTGGCATCTTAAAACACACACAGACATCATGAACATGCGAGTAAGATATGCACTGTGCACAAACAGGCAGACAAACCTTCCACTAAATCATGCAAACCCATCTAAAAAGCCAGTTTTAGGGCTGGGCGGTATATCGAGTTTGTACAATATATCGATATATTTTTATAAGCGATACGGTATGAAGCAATACCGTTAATATCGATATACCGTAGTTTGATACGAGCACATTTGAAAAATTATCTAGGGAGGACACAGACTGAGCTGCTGCGGAGAAAGTGCATAATACAATTTGTTCTGAACATGCGACAAGCTTTATATGAAGGGCTTTAAAAAACTGGTAAGATATAGTAGCCTATAGTTTATAGTTTGAGTTTAAAGCGGCTCGGCCCGTCAGATGCTCTGACAGAAAGGCTGCGTGTGCTGCTGACAGAGACGCTACTCGCACTGTTTCATGTGTCTGAGATGTGCTGTTTTCATAATGCATAACTTACATTTCACAGGTATATTCTCCATCTGTAAATGTTAGAAAGCCATGGAAATATTTCCATTTTGCAGTCAGAAGTGCATGAGCTTTTGTGATTCTCCGCTAAACTTCACAGATTTCAGTGAACGAGTGCTGCTGTGCGCATGCGCGCCAAACAGACGGAGCTCAATGAAATAGGAGCGCAAAAACTCTGACTAAAATATTTGTAGTTGGACAATAAATGTGGCATATGTAGAATTTTAAACCTACAAGTGTATTTGTATGATAGCACTAACTGTAAAGTGACTCTAATGGGGAAATCAAAATAGCCTTTTTACTCAATTAGTCTGTGCTTTTTTATTATTTTAATTTTTAGTTTAAGTAAATTTAACTTCTGCTTTAAAAGCATTATTTTTGTTTTTAGATTGCAATGTAACAATGTTAGAATGTAATGTGATTTTAACCCTTTTTTACACATAATATATGCCTACATGGTTACATTCACTTTATTTGTTTGTTTAATCCAAATACAAAATACCGAGATATATACCGTATACTGCAAATCAGCCAAAAAAAAATCAGCCAGAGGTCATGTCGATTGTTATTTCAGTGCGCTATATGAGGGCATGTGACTGGGAACATGGCCACCTGATGCAGCACACTTTCTTAGTATAGACTGATTGACATGCAGGATTGTAGAGTGACCCTTCAGTGCAAAATCTGTTCAGTCACACACATCGAGAAATTGCAAATTGTTCCAGTAAATAAAAATAATTTTCAAATAATTATTTTTGTTAAATCTTGTTAAAAGTCTCTTTAGAATTTTTTTTAAATAATAACAATCCAATTAACTTTCATGATTTGTAATTTTTGTTAAAGTTTGAGTTATTTTTTTAAACTACACTTTTACTATAATTTTTAATTTTCTGATTAAAATTTGCCACTATAATACATTGTTCTGGGTAGTTATAGTTCAATGTAAGCCAATAAGATTTTTTGCACAACTTCAATTGCATCTGTTACTTTACCATCTATTTACATATACATTATATGGAAAAAAAACTGTGCCAGGTTTAATAGAATCCAGAGAAAGTACATCACAAAGTGATGATGAATTAATTATTGACGGTAAAAAAAAGTCATGTTCCCACTTAAAAGTCTGTGTGGGGTGAGATTCACATTGATAAACAATAATTCACTATTATAATAATTTCTAAGTTCAATAATTAAAAAGAATTATACAATTTTGGAGCTTAGACATCAACAGAAACATATTATCACACTAAAATCATTTGCTTGGTTATTTCAAAGGCTCATTTAAAATAATTTTGGTTTTGGATTTTTGAGTTGTGTCCAGTTACATTTCAGTGTATCAGTGTTTAGTAATCATGATTTCCTAACAAGCATCCCTAAAAAAATCTGCAGCTCGCTTTCTCAGATCAAATGACGAGACTTCTTTTTATAGGGTGGAAAGCCTTTGTTCTGATTATCAACTCAAGCTCATTTGTTTTTGACAGTTTGTCTTGTTACTAAGAGAACGCAAGGTCGCTGAGGCCGTGTGCACAAGTGTCTTGCTAAATTTAGCAAACCCAGGCAGCTCTGAGCTGAGAGTGCAAAACAGTGACCGGTCTCTATAAACTGCCTTTATTCTAAAGTGTGCTAAAATTTTAAATTAAGGTCATTCTACGGTGATATTTAACCCGATTTGTGGTGGTAATACAAACGGGGATTGAGGGCAAGCACCCAAACGAGAGAGGAGAAAAGCCGATAAACTGAACTAATCTAGCAAGATTTCAATATCAGATAAACTGTTATAACCCTGCTGCCAAAGCACATGCTCCGTTTCTGTAGTCAACAATTACACCTCAGCACTGTTGTAGGACCAAGTTGAAGGTTTCAGTTCTGTCAGTTTTTACACCAAAAACCGGTCCTCCACTTCTACAATTGTCCACTTGCTACAGGAAAAGAAAGACACCTTTTGTATTGTCAGAAATAAACAAGGAGAAAAATTGTGTGTGTTTTTGTCATGGGTTTACAGTAAAAGGCCACTTATCCTAAGCCCACTGTACACCGTGCAATTTTTCTGGCTTTTTCAATTGCTGCTTGTTAGATTGAATGATATAATGCCAGTGAGATTCACAATTATTGCCAAAATTGTACCGTGTACATGTGCATTGGGCTTAAGAAGACTTCTTACTGTGGATTAATCATCACATCTGCATGCAACAGGAGCACATGCATCAATTATCATGCACAAACAACATGCTCTCTGTCAATAGGCTGATCTCACCTGGAGGGGGTGATGGGTGTGAGGTCTTTGCCCATTGTTTGAATGACACGTCGACCCCAAACCCACAGTCCAGCACAGATTCCGATGCCGCCATATAATAGCAGCCAGACCGGTGTGGCCGCATCCTGCATCACCCCACCCTGGTCGTAAATCATCCACAGGGCCACCAAAGGCCCAATTGCATTACTGCAGAAAAGATCAAAACAAGCATGTTCACAGGGGAAGTGACTACAATAAGGTTATGATATAAAGTGTATACTAGGGATGAACCATGTGGTCTTTAAATCAATATATCACTTTAACTTCACCCCAAAATGTATCATGATTATGAAAAGTTAACTTCCTCTGATGGCAAAGCTGAAGTTTCACTCCAGTCTTCAGTGTCACATGATTCTTCAGAAATCATTCTAATATTCTGATTTGATGCTCGAGAAAGCTTTCTTATTTTTATCAATGTTGAAAACAGTTGTGCACTTTAATATTCTTGTGAAAATCATGATCAATTTTTTCAGGATTCTTAAATTAAAAAAAAAGAATAGTTGAAAAGAACAGCATTTATTTAAAATGGAAACCTTTTGTCTTTACTGCCACTTTTGATCAATTTAATGCAACTTTTTTTAATAAAAGCCTTAATTTCTTTCTTTAAAAATATACATCTTACTGACCCCAAACTTTTGAGTGTATAAATCAGAGAATGACTTTGCCCTAAATTAATTTGCCCCCAAAACTAAAAATGAAAAATAATGCACAAAGAAATAAATATTATTATAAAATATAAAATATTAATACTATTATTTATTAATAACACAATAATTTACATTTATTCAATAATTATTTAATTTTGTATTGATCTGACAGTGGAGAGGTCACATTCTCTCAGAAAAAAGCTGTCACTGGGGCAGTACCCTTTTAAAAGGCACGCATTTGTAGCTTATTTACCCCTAAAGGATGCATATAAGTACATTAAATGTACATATTAGCTGGTGGACAGACAACGAAATAAGAGACAAACACACAAAATCCTTTAACTGCTTTCATTGATTCAACGTGACTAATAAACACACGATTATGACAATATATGGTTTATCTGAGTTATTATTATTATAATTTTCATTAAAATAAAGTATATTTATAATGCAATGCCTTTATCACTGCTTAAATACTATGAAATATGTTGCGTGCCTTATTCTGTGTAAGAAGGATTTATTTCAAACACTCGACTGACGTTATGAAGTGAGTTTGGAGTAAAAATATGTTATTAAATGTGGTATTTTCACATGCTTTCAGATGGAGCAGCATTTACTTCACAGAGCCGTAGTTCACTG